ACTATTCCATCTCATTTCATTACAAAGAACATTTGAACAGAAACGATGGGAAAAAAAAGTCACCAATGAACTATTGCTTTAGGTCACGCAGAAGTCAGCTCTCAGGTGTTCGCTACTTTATACTGATGTTCAAAAGCACTCATGACTCTTCTGCCACTATTTAACATGAAACCCCGGGCATATGGAGCTTCATGCTATTACTATTTTCATCACATATACAATCCATTTCCTTTTCAGGTACTTGTTTAGAGTGTTATAGTTTTTTTTTTGGTTTTTTTTTTTTTTTTTTTTTTTTTTAAGTTTAGTTTTGATTAAAACTTCCAGATGCTGAATTAATGTAAACACATAGGAATCTTTAGCCTGAGATATATTGTTCTACAATAAGGCTAATCTGTGTACACAAGGACAGTTACTATCAGTCCAAGGTGTCTATATGCTTCTAGGTGAGCACCACCTTATCAGAAGCTTTAAATGGTTCATCCATCTCTGGTGAACTAACCTGTATGAAGTGCCTGCACTGCGGCATGTAAAGGTCAAGATCTTTAAAATACTTTTCTCCCAACCAAGATAACATGTCAAACAGGCAAAAAAGCAAAGACTATATGGAACATAAGCAGGAATTATAACTTCCATTTTTTTCCTTCAACTAAGCCTTCTGCACGCTATTTAAATAAATAGGAGGAGAAAAAAAAAAAGACTGTGCGTATGACTCAATAACTGCTAGGATACTGACAGGGAACACTGCAGAAGTTTTTCATTTGAGATCTTATTAACAGACAGAGGCAATATATAGCTCAACAGTTAAACAAAAAAATATTGGCAGCTGAATCTTAAAAGTCACTTTATTAATTCTTTAAACCTATTTATCTTGAAGGTGAATTAAAAAAGAAAGTTTAGGGCTATAAACACGGATCCTTAGCAGTTACCATTCTTTTCTAAATTTGCCTTCAATTACTGTAAATTTTCTGTGCAATTAATAGATTACAATCATTTTAGCACACAAATGCAATTAGTCATAATATAAGAGAAGAAAGAAACCAAGAGTATTTAAATGGCAGATTACTGAAATATTTCCTTTACTCAACAATGTGAAACAGAAACTGAACCCCCCCCCCCAAAAAAAAACAAAAAAACAAAAAAAACCACTCCACTAAGGAATTTTTGGTATGCAATCTTTCTGCGGCACTTTATAGGTTATTAATTTCACAAAAAGAATGAATAAAAATTACTCAGAAATTAAGCCTTATTTGTTTTCCCAAAAGTACTCTGCTTGAAAGCTTCCATTTTTCTGTTCCTTCAGTTTCCCTTCTGAAGTACTTAACCATGGGTAAGCTATAGCTCACAGTTAGAAACAGCTTTTCAGAATCAGAAATAGCACTGTACTCACATACAAATGCTCAATCTATGCTTCTCTAAATACTGAAGAATTACACACATAAAATGTTCCTCTTAACTGAAAAGGGCTGTAATTCATCATTAATGCTATCAATCGTAATTGATGAGCACACACAGCAGAGAATTTATTGATGGAATGAGATGTAATAATGGAGTAACAATGACATTGACTGATTCACTAAGACTCTGAATCTTACCCAGGGTATAAAGATAGCAGTGAAATCAACAGAATTTCTCATGGATTCTTCTGGATTACTAACTGAGGCCTTCCTGGCACTCTCGTGAATTTCATACTTTACAGGAGCATTCAGGGCATGTCAGATTCCTAGTCCTTGTTAGAAAGCCAGAAAAACCAGTGGTCATTGGCACAACAGCAGTTGTCATGATCCTGTAGTAAAGAACTTGATAGACATCAGTCCTTCCCAGACAACCAAGCAAAAGTAGGGCAATGTCTGATGAAGTAAAGAGACATGTAGAGTTCAGTAGCTGATAAATGGGAATGCTAGGGGCTTCAGCAGTCAGGATTTGTGCTCTGTCCAGAGATCCTGGCAGCCTTGAACTGCTCTTATACCACCACTGTAGCGGTAGCAGAACTAACATGCATACTAACAGCTACCTACGTTTTTACCACAAGTTGTCTTTACGTTGCTAACTGCAATGTAAGAATTCTTTCATATATACACAAGACAATATTAATCACTTGCTGAAAAGTAAAAAGCAGATGAAAGATCTGCATTTGTTTACAGTTTTCTTAATTTTAATGTAAATTAAGCATATTCTTCATCAAGGCATGCCTTAAGACGTATTCATAGAGGAAAATAAATTAATAGAAAGAGCCTTTAGTTGAAATGCTGATTTCATGTCAGAAAGATGGCATGACATATCAGCTCTAATAAACCCAGTTTCATTCCTTAACACATACTGTTCCCTCCCCTGTCATTGTTACATCTGATTCACTGAATGGGCTATTTCAGAAATGGAAGCAATAAAACTTTGAGTTCTTCATTCCTAAAGTGCCTACAAAAAAAACCATATCACTAAAAATTAGCTTTGTTCCCCCCCCCCCCCCAAAGGTGAACATTTACATTCATTTTTCTATATTTCAATCACTGGCTTTGAAGTAATGCAAGAACATTATTCAGAGAAAAACGGAAGTGATTGGGATGTTGAACAAAATATCTTCAATTTCAGTATGCCTATTCGGTACTGATGAGCAGTATGTTAAATACAAGTCATTAAATGCTCCCTTCTGCTTTTGTGTAAATCGGGGCTTAGATAACTGGAACTAATTGGCTATCTTTCCTTTTCTAACAACAGTATAGCAATTAGCTGCTTCTGCAAGTTTCCATCATGTTTCCTCTACTGATTTGTTGCACTCACATATCAAAACCAACAAAGATTCTTAGAACTTCCTTTAAAGTTTTATATCTGCTTGGAAAGATTGAAATTATTGAAACATTATTAAAAACAAGCTCCAAATAAAACAACAAAATAGTCTGTAATAGAGAAGTACTTCCAGCACTTTTCCAACTCAGAAAAAAAAAAAAGACTAAATATGATAGCACACAAAATATTTAATTAACTTTTTAAAATCATTCTACAAAAGTCACAGCAGCCAAAGAATTACCAAGATTCCAGACAAAATTAGATTTTTTATATAGGATTAATCTACAACAACAGTGGGTATAGGATGAACAATTTATCTGTGTCAAAAAACATTTATCGAAGTATCTGAGAAAAGCAAGAAAAGGCAAGTCCTACAAGGAGAGGCTCAGGATGTTTGGGTTGCCCTGGGGAAGCGGAGGCCAAGAGGTAACCTCAACGGTCCCCGCAGATTCCTAAGGAGAGGAAGCAGAGGGAGATGCCAGGCTCTGGGGCTCTGCTCCTGGGAAGTGATGGTTAAGAGGAGAATGACACAAAGCTACTCCATGGAAGGGCCATAGCACAGTTGGGTATAGGTGCAGAAGCCGATTGCCATTTTGTGAATCTATGCAACCGCATCAGTAAGACCATAGCAGAATTTCAGAGAAAACTGTGTGTAGCCCACTAGACCTCACTGTGATGGTCAAAACTGATAGCAGTTCAGCCCCATATCACATGCTAATTTAGAGATTTTTACTAGGTACAGAAAAAATATGGCTACTGAACAAATTAGCTTTAGAAGAATTATGTCTCCAAAGATTACTTTGTATTTTTGCCATTGGTAAGAAACAATACTTTACAACATTCTTAATAGAGCTAGAAAGCATTATCTCTTTCCAAGACAAGAAATCAAGACTCTGAGAAAATTAAATACCTGTGAGAAAACTGGAAATTCAAGTTAAATTTATGGACTTTCAGACTGCTGCCTTAATTACAGGCCAAACCACCCTCTTCCAGTAACTTGCAAGTATTCAGATACAGCTAGAAAAGCAGGATCATTTATCCAGAGTCTGGACAAAGAGTGGAGAGCTAAGCTCTATTCCAGCTACAACAAAGATTTCTCTAAGGACTTCTACATGCATACTGAGTCTGGCTATGATGGGGGTAATTTTCTTCACAGCAGCCTGTCTGCTGTGTTTTGAATCTCTGACTACAACAGCATTGGAAACACATTAATGTTTTGACTATGTACTCGCACAACCTCAGGGCTTTTTCCAGCAAGTTGGTTAGTCTGGGCAAGAAGTTCAGAGGAGATTCAACTGACAGCTGACCCAAAAAGATGATTACAAGTGTCATATGGATTCAGTTATAGAAGTATTTTGAGAGAGGTGTTGATTGTCATTTGACAGTTGGATCAAGACAAAATGATTTATTTTATGATAGTAGATTAGCTGTTGTAAAATAATGACTTTGAAACACTGATTATGGTAGAATTTAGCGACAGTTTCCCTCCTGTCCCTTTAAATAAATTAATCTTATGCTGAATAGCTATAAATTGTATTAGAAAAGAAAGACTCAAATCTGAACGCGTTCCTGTGACAGAAAGAGGAAAATAAACCCTTGCATATATGGCCTACAACACAAGAAGGTACATTAAAATTATGTTACTGAATAACAAAGTGTCCTTCAATTCATCTGCAAATACAATTTGCTTCCACTGCCACATCATTTTAGACGGTCAGAATGAAGCAGCTATAGCATAAGTAAGACTAAGAGGTTAGATTTCAACAATGGCAATAGGGTCATTTGTATTCTTATTCCTAATATAACTCGGATATTTCTTACAGTTATAAGTACTTGGCTCAGATTTTATCCACTGACTGAAAGACAATTTTGCTTCAGCTGTGTCTTGTGTTTGGAAACCAATGCTTTTGTTTATATTTGGATACAGTATCACAAATGATTTCAACATGAAAAATATTGTTATTAAATTTTTGCCTATTTCTTAGCGTAATTATATAGCTATGAGCATTCAACACATTATTTCTATGTTCACTTAGTTATTTTCAGAGAGATGGTATTTATCTTTGTTCTGACCCCTCAGTTCAGATTATGTCCTTGTGACATGCTGTATTCAAATACAGATTGTTACAATTCTTTTTAGCTGACTTAAAAGAACGAATGACCACATGAGGAAAAATAAACAAATAAAACTCTTAAACTTGCTCTGAACTAAAGCATACCTGAACGCATAGCATCTTTTTGAATACTTTCATAATCGTGCCAATCCTTCCTTTTCAGCCCATCAGTCCAGGTGAACAACTGCCCATCTCCCAGCCCCAGTGGAACTGTCTGTGAAAACAAAATAAAACCACAAATAAATACATACACATATGTATGGCTTCCATTATCACAAAACAATATTTATAATATGCCACTAGTCAGCAAAACACTCCATTTATCCAGTGGAACTATTGAGCCTCAACTCTAGCAAATGAAGCTACTCTGCTAAATATTGTGAGAAAACTATGAACTTAGGTTTGGGTTTTTTTTGTTTTGTTTTTTTAAACTATGTAATTGCTACAGTTGGTGTTACAGCTGAAAAGATTATTGTGGTGAAAACAGGAAAAGAAACAAACAGGGAAGGAATGCTCACTGGTATCTGAAGATCTAGGTTCACAGGAGAGACTCCACAGAAGAGGGATCTCAGAAAGAGACCCTTCCTCAGTGGGGCTCGGTCCTTAAATGGGGTCTAGGAGGGGTGGAGCCAGGCTCCATTCCTTCTGGTCACACAGCTGAATTGCCTTCACCTGTGCTCCCAGGGCTGACTCAGCCCTTTCCTCAGGTGATGAATCAGTGGTTCAGGCCATGACTCAACAGTTCCCATATAGTAATTAACTGAAGTACTTTGAACATATCTGTAATATTTCTAACTCCAGTAGTGGCTGCTATGGCTGGCTGTCAATAAGTTTACGAAAGTTAAATGGACCACTAAAACTGCACAACAGGTTGTCAGAAATGTCTCTCTCCAACAGATGAAGCACCATACTTTTATTCATTTATATTTGCTTAATTCTCATTTGTGCAAGGTTAGTTATTGTTAGTCAGCACCTTCCTGTGCTCCCCTTTAACTCTGATGTTTTCTGATATAGCCAATGACAAGTAATTGCTGTTCACATAAGGCCAAACTCTTTGCCCCAGAGGTACAGAGCAAAGAGACTGTGGAAGCACTTTCAAATCCCTTAGATGTATCTCTGTGGCACGATATAAAATACTAAAAAAAAAAAACAACAAAAAAACAAAACCAACAACAACAAAAAAAACCAAACCTAGCAAACAAAAAAGCTCTCCCTTTCCAGACTCTAATTTTCTGCATCAAGCTTAACTTATGAAAAATGTGGTTAAAAAAACTGCTAACAATAAAAACAATTGATAAAGAAGACAACTTACTGCATCTGTGCTGAAGAAAGAAAGAAAGAGATTCATAGCTGGTTAGGAGTAACAAAGATTCTCATTCTGGTGGTTTGAATCATAAAGCAGTGCAGAATGAAGAGCATATGTATAATGCATTGTGCAAATGTTTCTTGAGCATGTTCAAAGAATGTGTGAAAACATCTGAAAATCAATTCTTCCAAAACAAAATTTGACCAGCATTCTACTAAAAAATATTTTGAAATCTCTACAAAAATCTCATGCACATGTAAGAGCAATGCTCTGAATGTATGACACATCCTCGTGTAAGGGGTAGGTGAACCAAACAAACATTGGAGGGATTATTTTTCTTACTGATTTTGCACGACTAGCAGCACAAAATGTGAAGATATTCAGTGCCGCCAATGAAGTTGTCCCAGCATTTTCAGATAGAATCTCCCTTTTTTGTACAAACAAGCATTTGCCAAGGTAAATGATATGGATCTGGTAGCTAAGAATTCCCTGAAAAGTAGGTCCCAGTGCCTTCAGAGTTGAGAGTAATGCCAAGAATGCTGAGCAAGGCAAAGTATCTCAAGCAAAGTATGCTAGAAATCCTGTCTGGCAAGATTCATGTGAAAAAACCTATTTTTTGTTAGCTGATATTCCTGCGCACCTCAGACAATCAGGGCAAAGTATTGTGGGCTTGGTGTTACCCAATAAATCATTGAGCTACAGAGAAACATCACTCCTATTCTGTTAGTGTGACCTACTTCTTTAGTTTTAATCTTGAAGTTAGGTAACCTATATCACAGACTACCCAAAAGCAATCCAGCCTGTTTTTACAGCTCTATTGCAGCTTTTGCAGACATATTCCAAGAAAATGTTCTTTTTTTCCACATATTACTATACATCAGAAGGTTGCATCTGGAAGAGAAGGAAAACTGAAGATATTCTGAGATAAAACTATTTAATGTTATCAGAATATATAACTGTGGCCTTGAAATTAACTTATTAATTCAAATAATTTTTGTGTTCAAACAATGCAAATGTTTTAATAGTAGAGAGTCTGAAAGTCAGAAACACAAGACAATATCGGAGCTAACAGACTTTTTCTTTGCACTTGATTCTCGTGCTCATCCTCCTAAATTAGCACTTGAAAGCACATAACCGGTTCCTTTCAAAGTGAAGCACAGCCAGACTGGCTCCAACTAACCTTCTGCTATCCCCCCCCCCCCTCCTCCCCGTCAGTAGTAGAACAGCTGAAGTTAAACTCTCAGTCCTATGAATTCAAGACTATCAGAGCTACCAAAAGCAGGATAAAATTTTGTGACCCTTTGTTCCAGTTCTGGCCTCTTTTCCTGAGAACAGTTATTTAAATGACAAACATAACATACTGACATATATAAATTAAGTAAAACGAATCTAACAAACAGATAAATCCGATTACTGCGCAATATATGAAGAACAACCTGAAGACTTTTTGGAAGTCTATTTTGGAAAAGCTCCATTACCCTAAGAGATGAAACAGGAAACAAACCAGCCCCTAAGTACAGTGTTGATGCGACCAGAACTCTTTGATCAAAATTAATACTTGAAGAGAAGCCAATACCATAATGAACATCCTTTCACTGCAGGGGGAAATCGCATACAACACCCTTGCACGTGGCTTCCTTTGAGTGACATTCAGACAGCATAACCTCAGTAAGAACTCTTAGAGATCTGAACATTGCGGTCCATAGAGAGATCAGACTTCATATGCACACAACTTCTGCTGCCATGAGCGGTGGGACATGGCTTTAGGAATGGATGCAGAGTTTCACAGTCAAACCCTCCAGAAACAGCAAGAATTTTGCAGTGAAAATTCCACTGTTTGGAAGAAATCATAACTTTCAGTCTCTCAGCTAAATATCTCCATTGTCTGCATGAAGGAAGCATTTCTTCCCTCTTTTTTGACATTGCTAGATTGCATAATAAAAAAATGCATTCGGGAAAACTAGTTTCATCATTTCACTTCTGCTTAAGTGTAAACAAAATGCATTCCTTAAACAGAATTTCTGCTAAAAGACTCCTTTGTAAAACTCAATCAAAGTATACGCAATGCTTCCTTGCTCCTGATGACAATGACTGGAAAAGCCCCTATTTCTTGAGCATCTCTAGCCAGTAAGTATAAAAAATATATATATTAGTAGTCCCTTCATTCTGGTCTCAGTCTTCTTCCTCTGTACCCACGGTTTTCATTTCTGGATACTTTGATCATTTACACTATTTTGCTCAGTGCTACATCCTTCTGGAATCTTGTGCAATTTACACTACTCTACATCAAACTGGAACAAACTCTAGTTTACACAGACTATAAATCTCTCCTGTAAGGTCTAGGTCATGATATGCAGTAGGGCTTCTTTCCCGGGAAACCAGAGTGTAAGGAAAGAGAAGAACCAGGCACTCATTAGCATCTTCCCCTAGCAAAGAAGCAGTGCACAACAGCAGTGCTGCCCAACTCCTGTCAGTGCTCCTGCACAACTGGTTTACACATGGCCCTTTAGACCAGTTTTCATTTCAAGTGTCCCTCCAGACAGGCTGCCATGGTTAAGTTCGAAGTCTGAACAATGAAGGCTGGATTTTTAAAACACTTTCCAATTTTGAGAACATACTAGGTGAAATCAGGTGAAAGTCCTTCACATAAATTTAAGCCACAGATTCACAGTAATGCACAAAAGCAAAAAGTGTTTGATTTTCACTGTTTTCCATTAGTTTGCCTTTCACATGTTCATTTTATAAAACTGAACACTGAATAAATATTTTTGAACTGATTTTAACAAATACTTAGGCAAATCAAGTATCACTAGTGCCCTCCTAGAATTTGTGAGCAGCTGCTTACTAGCTTGTTCAAAAATTCTTAGCTAAACAAAACTTTAGTTATACGTATTCTTTAGCGATACATCATTATATCAGAATGAGAAACCAGTACAGCAGCTAAGTTGAAACATGCTCAGGGTTTTTCACCCCAAAACATCTCCATAAGTTACTCACAAATAGTGAAGTAGTCCCTTCAACTTAAGAACTGCTTTTATCATTGCAGCAATATTCTAATAGCAAAAATCACTCTGCATACATAGAGCTGGACTGTGACTGGCTGTCAAAAAAATCCTAAAACAATTTATCATCCAAACATTTGCTACCCCTAGTATGCAGCTGTGAGTTGCACATTTTTAAGTGTTTTGGATCAACAGGGACTATCCACCTACAGCAGCATTACACACAACATCTGCCTTACTATTTCATTTTTACATTAACCTCAAACCTTTGGGGATGCAAGACTGATATGCTACTACACAGACTCAGAAGTCTTCTCCTCTAGAGAAGTTTCAACATCTGCTTCAATTACAGAGAATATGATGAACGCCCAAAATAGCACAATTATCAAAAAAAGCCCACTCACAGACTATTAGATTCCTCAGAGGGGAAAAAAGATTCTCCGCTGTGACATTTGAAAGCTCAAACTCAGAAACAAGAGCCTTCCTTGAATAACTCATTTATTTTTAATTTCCCTCTGCAGAGGCAGACAATTAGAAGAGTCTGAGGCAAAGGAAGACGCTGTATCAATGGAAATTCACCTTCCTAAAAACTACAAGGGATAATTACAGATTCACTTTGAAGCTGAGGATTCACTCTCTTGGCTCCAGGGGTTATTTTGCGGAATGGAACACCCATATACAATCGACATTAACGAAACATCAGTAAAGCTGATCAGCATAACCATTTCCAATTGTTTAATGAATTTCAGGAACAGAGGCACTTGTTACTGCTCAGAGAAAGATGCACATGGGAAAGAAACCTGGCAAAGAAGCACTGAGATGAGACATTTCCACAGACATTTCAAGAGAAGCATAAAGACGACCGCAGTTTGATTCCCTTTCATTCTCTAAATAAAAGATTTTGTA